CCTGCTCCCTGATGTGTCAAAGATAGAAGATGATCAAAGTATGCGGAGTCAAACAATTAAGTCCAGTCAGGTAGTGAAGCTCCCAAAAGGTGAGCTAATCATAAGAGAGTTGGGCGCACACAATTCGACCTCTTAACAACCGACTGGCCTGCGTGCATGCATGTATGATTGTATGTGTGCGCGCACACGAACAGGTGACTCCTGAGGAGCCATCGAAATAGATCACATATGTGAAGGTGGTTAAATAATCGATAATGACCAGCGGTGAACCGGTACAGAACACTCGTTTACGGAACATAGGTCAACCAATAGTAAAGGACAATGGAGGTCACAAGTGAACTTGTGTGGTTGAAGTCATACGCGTGATCGATGTGCGTGTGTCTGCATGTCCATTGAGGTGTCAGAGACTGGGAGAACTACGCACTCGCGTGATTATGTGAGAAATCGATACCATAGGTCGACTAAACCAGCAAATCAGAAACCGTGAAGCCCAGATACAAGGTGAACAACGCCAAAAATATTAGTAGACGATTGGCAGAGAACTAAACCACCAATGAACTTGGTTTGCGCATAATATTTATTTCCTCTTATTTCATTCAATAGACGAACTACTATTCTTATGGCCTTTTCCCACGCGTCTCGGTTATGTGGGATATTGCTTGTCAACATCATTATGATCCTCACATCTTATCCGTGATTGCTAATCCGTGATTCGTGTTTCGCGTTAAGTACGTATTAAAACTACTACACTGCAGTTGAACTCGTAAATCACATCAGGCATAATGTGACAGATCAACATTTCACGCATGATTTCAGCCATCATCCTTCGACGGTTTGGTGCGACGGTTGGCTGTTCCTTCAAAATACGCCCCACATTAATCGACATGGATGATTCCGCACGTTTTTACGCATACAGTGGCTATGAACGCTCGTCTGATTGAAGATTATCCATAAGTTATTTGTCCACCTCATTTATTGTATGAAAACTGCATACTTGACGTTAGGAAAAATGGAATGCAGTCGACTGAAGGCAGACAAACGTGAATGGAGTTTGTTTGAGTTTCCGTATTTGATATGATCACCATTTGCGTACATACCAGGCTGACAGCCAATGCATTCTAAAGCGAGTAATATCAGCCTATTATGAGTCAAAACTGGGCAAATAAAACGTTCCCAAACAAATCGGGAACTGTGAATATAATATTTGGATTTTTGTTGTTTAAACTGGTATATCTTCTCGAGTGTTCTCAAAATTTTAGGATTTTCTTATGTATTCTGCTCCTCTCGTGCGTTTGCTGAATAAGAATATGAACTATTAAAACTAGTCCTGAAATGAAAGGGTCGTTTGATAATTTATATTCCGTTATCTGGTAAGTAAACTGTTAGATGTTTATTGATTTAATTAGACTGGTCTAGTCTGAATTAGATTGCGAAGTAGATGCAAACTAACTCGAATATCCTTGACAAAAGGTTCACATTTTCCACTATTGTGATAATCCAATGGATATGATATATGATGAGATAGGATGGATGCAATAGATATTCCTCAACCACTTAAATTAAATTTGCAGCTGTCTATGGGCTTTGATTTATGAAGCACACTCTTGTCCAACCGTAATCCATTTCGTGTAGGACGCTAGCAATGCAGTAAGTACTGCAAAACTGTTACATTCAAGAAACATTTAAGGAACGTTCTATATTATGTTTAATGAAAGTCCCATTTTAGCCGTGTCGACGTGCGTCCTTAGATTTGCTCTGTTCCGTATCTGCAGTTGACTTGATAAATCATATTTGAAGCATAATGTGGCAGAAGACTAACTACTCCAACTAGTTCCTAAGTGAAACGATCGTTTGATAATTTATATTCAGTTATCTGGTGAGCAAAATATTCGATGTACATTGGTTTAATTAGGTGGTCTTGTCTGAAGTAGATTGCGCTCACAAATGCGAACTAACTGGAATATCCTTGAGAAAAGGTACACGTTTTCCACTATTGTGGTAATACAATGGTTATGATATATGATGAGATGGGATGGATGAAATGGATTTTACCCTCGATAAATGATTGTAAATAATCACTGTGGAGTCTGTCGTATATGGAGAGCGAGCAAGACTATATAACCATTGAACACATTTACTGGGGTTCAGGGTTAGCTCCGATGAGGAGGAGAATGACCTCAACGCGCAAGTTGGAAAGCTGAGTGCATCAGAACCTTGCTTAGGCGGTAGTTGTTCTGTACTCTGCCAACGAACAGATAACGGCGATCGACTTCTTCAGTTCTGTGCAGACTTGCATCTGTTTCTTTCAAGCACTAACTTCCGACATAGCTCCCCACGGACGGCAACGTGGCGCTCCAGTTCAACTGGTAAGCTAACTCAAATCGACCACATCTCAGTAAGTTATCGTTNAAAAATTGCAAGTCCTATTGGACCACCTGCGTTGAGTCGGACCGCGCATTAGCTCTGATGCAGTTCTCCGACTGACTGGTCGGCGACAAAACCAGCAAGCTCGGATAGCGCATCAACGACTATCTGCTTCAGTCGTTCGTGCACGCTATGAGTCAGATCCAGTACGTATGCTAAGTGCGTATCAGTGTGGTGATTTAGACAAGCAGTGGGATCAGATTAGGCGAGCAATGCATTCCGCAGCGAATGTTGCTTGTGGGTCTGAGCCTCGGACCTATAGGAAGCATTGGATATCTCAGGAGTCAGTAGTCCTGATGGGGCAAAAATGGCAAGTCCCGACCTGCCATGATCAAAATAGAGTGAAGCGGCAGCTACAACGTCGGCTCACGAAGAGTCTCAAGAAGGACCGTGAGAACTGGTGGGCAACAATAGATAGTGAA